GGCCGCGCTGCGGCTCTGCGTCCGCTGTGGTTGGGCGATGGTGAGGCAAAGATGCGAACCTCGTGGTCTTGCTTTTCTTGCTTCGCCTCTTTTCCAGTTCCAAAGGCTAGACAGAGGTCGTTGTACTTCTCTGGCTTGATGGATGATTAAAGGGTTTCGGGCTGGGGGGATGGTTGAGATCAGCTGAAAGTTTCCGAAGAACTGGGTCACACCATCTCTGCGCGCTCTTCGCCTCCCGCCCCTCTCACCTCTGGGCGATGGAAAGTGGCGAGCAATCCCAGGTGCCAGATGGTGGTTGCGAATGCACCGACCGGGCCCCTGTGTCTGACAGTGTTGCCTGAGAAGGATTTCTAGTGGAGTAGGGTTGACCTGTGTGTAGTTTTTAAAAAGCATCGATTTTAGGAAGAAAGAAAAGTAGGAAGAGAGGGAAGGAGGAAAAGAAGAAAGAAAAGGTGGGAGGAAAGAAAAAGGGAGGGAGAAAGGAAGCTGTTAGAAAACAGAGTAACGCGGGTTTTACACTGATTGTTAGGGCAAAGGAAAGGGGTTTATGGGAAGGAGGTGCTGTTCTTTGGTAGCGTTTGTGTGAAGGTATTTGCCAGGAGCAGGGCCACGGCTCTGGTAAGGGAGGGGAAGGTGGACAGAGTGGCCAGCCACTCTTGTAATCTTAATTGCAGATGAATTTTAGGATGTGTTTCTAATGTTTTTCTCTGTTGGCAGTAAATCAGTTGTTTAAGGGAATTGCTCATCACATCCATCACCTAGAATACTGGCCAACTGCTGGAAGCCCTCCCCATTTTCCATAACCTGATGTATTTCACCTTAGTCATTTAAAACAACACGACAGATGTTTTAGGGGCCTGATTGAAGATTCAGCTCATAATTTTGCTGTCAGTTTCAGTGAAATGTTATAAACTTGTCAGATTATTTCTTAAACTCTAGTGTTTTTTTTAAATCTTTTTTTCTACCTTCCTTCCTCCCCGCTCCCTCCTTCAACTGTTTTCTTTCAGCTGGAAACCTTGAAGCGTAGTCCAAACTTTTGATAGAATACATCTACTAACTTTCTATTATAACATAGTAGTGTTATGGTCACCAAAGGAGGAACGCACGAGGTCGAATGTGGTAAAGAATTATAAATTTATTAGATCATCTGGAGACCAGATGGGCTGAGCCCCAAAATGGTACCAGCCCCCAGGAACAGGGAGTCAGGGATTTTAAAGGGCTCTGGATGGGCTTTTTTGGAGGGTAATTCTCTGGGCCTGTCTGGTCTGGATCCTGGGCAACTCTGGAGGGGAAAGTTACTGGTCTTAGCAAATGGAATGTGGTCTAAGCGAAAGGGAGTGTTGGTTGTGAAGTGGTCTAAAGGTCAGTTTCCCGGGGAGGGGGGGGGGGTATTGATTGGATTATCTGATCAGACCTAATAAGTAGCTGTTACATTTTCAACGCTTGTTAAACTCTCTAATTTTTGTTTCCCCAAATATCACTTATTCCATTCAGAGGTTTCCTTAAATGCTTTTGTACTATTTTGTGGCCATGATAAAGCTCTTTAGGTCAGAGTTTTCAATTTTTGATTGTATATTAACTTCAATAAGTTTAGTTCCTTCTAGATTGCATTCTTTTTTTTTTTTCCTTTTGGGAGGATGTTTAATATCTCAAGACCTATGCTGCTGGGCCTTGTCCACAATTCATCTGGTTCATTGCTCTAGTTTCCCATGTTTATATTAGCCTTAAATAATGCTCCACTCCCAATAATTTCTGTTTTCTAATTATTAATTGATCAGAAAAAAACTTATCTAAAAATCACTATACAATCAGTCTATCTTAGTTAATATGGGTGACACTTAAGAACAATAAAACAGTCCTAGCTGGTTTTGCTCAGTGGACAGAACATCGGCCTGTGGACTGAAGGGTCATGGGTTTGATTCTGGTCAAGAGCATGTACCTCAGTTGCAGGCTCCCTCCCCAGCCCTGGTTGGGGGCTTGTGCAGGAGGCCACCAATCCATGTGTCTCTCTCACATGGATGTTTCTCTCTCTCGGTCTCTCCCCCTCCCTTCCACTCTCTCTAAGTCAATTGAAAAATATCCTTTGGTGAGGATTAACACAAAGCAATAAAACATATGTATAAAAATTACAGGCGACTTTCAGACAATATGAAGCAATATTAAAATGAATGGCAGAGTCAAGTAGTAGGAATTTAGAAAAGCAAAAGGTGGGGAATAGAGATCAACTCCCAGGAATAATAATTTGCACAGGATTTTGTGTTTAGTAGAAGTTGAGTTTTGATAAATAGAGAGAGAATAGCCCTTTCTTTATGTGACAAAAACAAAGAGTTATAGTACATTTGTAAGGTCCAGCATAGTACACTTGAAGTATAAACAATTCCTAAAATTTTAATTTCCTCATTATCAGAATTTGAGTGTATTTGTTGATATTGACAGTATTACTGCTTTGGTAAGGTAAGCAGTCAGTGTTAAAATGATTAAATCTTGGAGTCCAGTGGACATTTTATAATGTCAAACTTTTAGATTTGGGGAGCATCATCTTAAAAGAAGTAAAGTAACACTGTGACTTTGTTTATTTCTTTCAGCTTTAACTAACCAGTCAGGAAATTGTGAATGTGCTATTCCCTTGAGCTGGTTCCAATCTTTGGGAATATGGTTTTGTTTTCTTTATCTTCTTCCAACCCCTCCCACCCCTCTAATTTTGTTGAATAAGGTTGCTCAGAGCATTTAGATGGAAAATTAAACCTCGTTGTACAAAATTACATTTACCTCTCACTCATTACAACACCTAAGGGAATCTGGGCTGCTACAGCTTCTCTAAAGAAACTTTTATTTTTCCATTTTGAGTGAACATTTTCCTCTCACCTTTACAACTGTTATATTCACCTGCTTCCTAAGGAAAGTACTAGAGATGTGGAAAATAATCCTTTAAGAAATGTCAATACAGAAAAACTTAATTTCTAGAATAATAGCTGGTGATGTGGAAGGGGTGACATAATGATAATTTACTTTAAATGAAAGGCTTTGGACACATAGGACTCACTGTTATATTTAACTAGTGACCTCTCATACTTCATTGGAAAGAAGGCTTGACTTTTAGAACATTAAATGCTCAGCATCTATACTAATAAAAGGGTAATATGCTTAATTAGACTGGGTGTCTTCCGGACATCCATCCGGACGTCCTTCCAGACAAAGCCATGGTGGTGGGGGCCAAGGCAGAGGAGGTTAGGGGCAATCAGGCTGGCAGGGGAGGGCAGTTAGGGGCAACCAGGCTGGCAGGGGAGGGCAGTTAGGGGCTGTAGAGTGCCCCTGGGAAGGCACATGGGTGTTTCTTTAATTATTGTCAGCTGAAGCCAGCTGCGTTGGCAAAGCCATGTCCTGGAAACATGCTTTGCCAAAAGGCAGGATTGTTGTCAGCTTGACCTTCAGCCCAGGTGCCAGGGGGTAGGTTTTGTTATTTAAATCCAGCCAAGCACCAGGAATGAATACAACTCAGGCCCACCCAAGAATGCACATAATCTCCTTTGTCTTGACTTTTAGTAAAACTTCATGTTTTTTGCTGTATAAAATAAACACACTGTATCGGCTCTGGGTCCCTGTCCCTGTGTCTCCATCAGAGAACAGTGGTTCCACACAGCCCTAGCTTTTTCCTTCCACCTCTGTGTCTGTCTCTTTCTTTCATTTTCTCAATCCCCAGCCACCCCTACTCAGGAACCAGACTGCTCTCTAGCAGTGTTGGACACGGAGAAGAGAGACATATTTACAAGGGGCGACCAGGCTGGCAGGGGAGGGAAGTTAGGGGCTATCAGGCCAGCAGGCAGAGGTGGTTAGGAGTTATCAGGCAGGCAGGCAGAGGCAGTTAGGGGCGATCAGGCAGGCAGGCAGAGTGGTTAGTGGTCCTGGATTTCGAGAGGGATGTCCCTGAGGGGTCCCAGATTGGAGAAGGTGCAGGCTGGGCTGAGGGACCCCCTCCCATGCACGAATTTCATGCACTGGGCCTCTACTTTCACAATAAACATGTTACACAGGAAAGAAACACTTATCCATTTTTTACAGGAAATATCTATGACATATAATAAATACATTCTACCAAGATATTCCAGGCTGGTATTGATGGGCATCTATAAACAGTAGTCACTGGGTCTACAGTTTAAATATTCTTGATGTACAACCAGAGGCTTTCAATGTTAAAACCTTTTTCTTGGTTCTTTCTTTGCATGTATTATGAAAATATTCAATAGACATTTAAGAAAAGAGAATATCAGACATAGAAAGGATATTTATTATTTTGAGGCAAGCTTTTATTAAAAAAATAAGCTACATTATATTGCACAATGTAAATATGAGTAAGACTGAGCATGCATATTCATTCATAAAAGTAGACTCAGGCCCGGCAGGTGTGAGGTCACGGTTTGATTCCCGGTCAGCCGATCAATGATTCTCTCTCATCATTGGTGTTTCTCTCTCTCCCTCTTCCTTCCTCTCTGAAATCAATAACAATATATATTT